CAAAAAAAAAATACAAAAAAAGAAAAAAAGGTAACATCAAACCCATTCCCACGCCCCCCCCCCCCCCAAAAAAAAAAAAAAAAAAAATCTAATGCAAAAAGTAAAAACAAAAGTGATTTAGTGACTTTAAAAGCAAATAGCAGTAACATGTACTTGAAAAGAGCCCTTTAGCCAAAAAGCTTGTAGAACTCATAAAAAAAGGAAACACAAGGAGAGAAACTATAATAATAGCATAGAAAGAAAAAGTATTAACATCTACTTTAAAAGCTGCCTCTAAGAAAAAGCTACAATTAGCTTGGTCCAAAACCCAATATTAAAATATAAAGAGATACACTTCTTCTGATCTTTGAAGTCCTCGAACTCAAAGTGAAAACCCTGCATGGGCTAATTGGTAAATTCTTGTTCGCATGCAAACTAAAATATTTAATTTCCACCAATTTTTATCTTAAGAGTTGGATTGGAGGAATTGAACAAACACTCAAAATTTTCAGAATCAAGCAAGCGGAATGAATATACCAAATAGAAAGAAGTTTTTGAAGACAGATACGGTTTAAGTCTGAATTCTAACAGATATGGTTTAAGTCTCAATTTTGAAGCTAGTGTGTACTAAAACACCTTCAGATATTAAAAATTTCATCTTTTCATAGAAACCCTAGTGTTTTGTTAGCAGACATATTGTAAAGCCAAAAATAAAAATCCATCAAAAACTCGAAAACACTACTTCAAAGATCAGCATAATTGGAGGAGTATCTGTTGATTTAGTGAAGCACTTACACTGTGACTGATTGAAGCAGGGTAACCATACCCCGTCTTTGATGCCTCATATTCGATCCCCAGCTGAAAATTCTGGTGTTCCTGCTGTTGAAGCTGATCCTTCGCCTCTCCACACTGAACTGGCACAACACTATCTCCTCCATAGCTCTTCTGAGGCACAGAATAGCGTTGCTGCTGATTATTATACTTGTCATTGAACTGACTCTCTTGACATGAATTGTACTCAACGAAGTCCAGGTACTCATCAACTCCCTCTCCACCAAACAAAACCCCATCGTTGCTTTGGTGGGTGTTCTTAACAGGATTAAACAACAACCATGAAGTCGCTTCATCTTCATCGTCTTCATCAATTGGTTCGTCAGCCTCTGGAGCCAAGAACCCATCCTCGGCATCCCCTGGGGTCCCAATTATGGAGCCCCCTGGGTCGGTGGCTGGGGAGCCGTAGAGGCAGCCGGGAATGGGAAGAATGGGGACACGGTGGTGGCGGCGCGCCAGAGGGTTGGCGGAGTGGATGTCCGCATCACAAGTGGTGCAGAGTGATGCCGCGTCAGCCTTGCAAATGAAGGCTGCCGGAGCACGTTCACACGCCGCACACACCCACACGCGCTCATGGCGCGATGCCACCCTGTTGGCGGCGTGGATACGGGCATCACATCCAGAGCATAGGTAGGCAGAGTCAGCCCTGCAGTACACGGTGCACGCTGCCGAATGGCACGCGTCGCACACACGCGCCCAACTGTGGCTGCTGCCACCATCTATAGGAGTATGCTCCTCCTTCATCATTGCTTTCTTCGCTCTCTAGTCTCTATTACTCCCTATTACTATGAGGCGTTGGCTTATACTTCTGGCACAGTGAACTGTGAAGAGAGGGAGGGGCTGGTGAAGGAGGGAAATAACTGTGGACAACTAAGTAGTGGTGGAGAGAATCCAGGCGTGACAGGTGGCGAGAATTTAGTGGGTGAGAAAAGTCGTAACTTTATCTTATGGTTTGCTGTGGTTCTGGTAGGTCCGGATCGAGATGTGGTTCTGGTGGGACCCAACGGCTTTGGCTTTTTGGAATCAAATAATGAAGGCGGAGTGTTTGTTTATTTGTACTCCCTCGAGTTTCTTAGCTTTATGTACTCGCCTTTTGGCATGGCCACTTTTCAAATCGAAAAGCCTGCTGAGTCAGCCGGTGAACGTACTCGAACCTGGTTGCACAAGTGTCAGTCATGTAAAATTGGACACGAATTTTATGATTAAGTCGTTTGCAAGTTGAAAATAGTTATAACCATTGGGTAGCTCAGTTGGTCAACCTCTGGCTTCTCGGTGGAGGTCAGGGATTCGGAGTCCTTTGGGTGTAACAGCGTGGTTGTTTGGTACGATAAAATCGTAGTTATTTAGATGAATCGTATTTAAGTTTTTGATGTGAATTTTGGATCTCCGGTATATCAATTGAGGGACCAATTTATACTCTGGGTTTTTGTCCTTGATTTTACTCAAAGTTATGAGCGCGTCTCTACTCGTTGAGAATAGACCATAAAATTTTTCCGTTTCTTAAAAATAAAAGTTGAAAATATTTATAATTTCGTTATCCACCCAAATATTGATACATAGAGAACACGAATCGAAATTGCACAACCAAAAAAAAATATGACACTGAAATGAATTGACAACTTTATCTAGACACCTATGGAATTAAGTTTGAATATACGTGCATTTAAATTGATTGTGATTGACAAAAATAAAGCTCCAAGTTGAGGGCGATTGTTAAGTCTAGAAGTTAAGATCTATAGAGACTAGTGAAATCTCGAATTGAAATCAAATTTAGCTTACTATAATTTTTATATAATTAATGATAAAATCAGATGTAGCTTACTTTAATTTTTGTATAATTAATGATAAAAACAAGTTAAAAAATTTCAATTCTTACAAGTATACTGAAAAAGAAAAAAGGGAGGAATTTTTGAGTGTATATGGTTTTGACGCTATTGTTTAGAATTGATTTGTTTCTGCGATTTAAAATTTTGATCAAAAAAAACCCCTCCTTTATACCTTTTTCCTTGTTAGACCAAGAAGTAGAACAAAGTTCTATGATAGTTGGTCAACATATTTCTAATTAGAGTTAAGAACGAGTCGTGTTGTGTCTAATTTGTGTCGTGCTTAAGTTGTAGCGTGTTGAAATTTGTTCAATTCATGTGTATTTGGGTTTGTATTATGTCGAGTTTGTATTTTGTATAAGTTGTATTAAGTAGGCGTTTTTTGTATATGTTCACGAGAATTAATTTATTTAATGCGTTATTTGTTGAACATGTTAGCTAAATCTACAATNAGCGTGTTTTGTATATATTCGCGAGAATTAATTTATTTAATGCGTTATTTGTTGAACATGTTAGCTAAATCTACAATCACTAGTGTTTTCTTGATCTCGTGTCGGGTGAGCAAATTGTGTCTTAGATTTGCTATGAATCAGCGAAAAAAAGTGGATGAACATGTTTGANATCACTAGTGTTTTCTTGATCTCGTGTCGGGTGAGCAAATTGTGTCTTAGATTTGCTATGAATCAGCGAAAAAAAGTGGATGAACATGTTTGAGTGATGGCCATCTGCAGAAAACTTCTCCTTGAACCTTCAAGATGCCAGATTGTTTTCACGTTTCCTAGTGTATGGTTCCAATCTTCCTATGCAAATTTGCCCTTTAAATTTAAAGTTAAAATGCATAGCATACCATCATTTTTAAATTATACACGTCAACTGAATTTAGATGTACAAGTTTTATGTCTCGCCTTGTTCGACTTCTCGCTCACTCAGTCTTATACGGGGACGGAGTCAGATCATCGTTATAGAGTGAACACTTTAGCAAATTTTAAAAAAAAATTCTACTGATCGATACAAATAATATAATACATCATATTTATCACATTATATTTGATACTTAAAAACTTAATAAACACAAAAGCCTAGAAAATCAGTATGCATGGTGTTAGGAAATTAAAAATAACAAAAAGAGTAATTATAACCCTTTACAAAAATTAAAATTTAATGTAATCACTTAAAAGTGATCATGGTTGATATTAATACTTCAAAATTGTTGTATAAGAACTTTTACTTTATGTTTTTGAAAATTTCATTCTTTATCTAAATAATTTGAACGAGCTTAAAAAATTGTTCAAATTCAGCTCATTTAAAAAACCTGAGTTGAGTTTGAGTTCGAGCTGAGCGTTTTAGAAAACGAGCTTAAAAAATTATTTTAAATTTGGTTCGTTTAGAAAACGAGCTGAACCCGAGTAACTCGGTTAGATTATTAGTCCTTTTCGTAGCGGATTTTGTTAAGTCAAGTTATGATCCTAGGTTTTTCTGTGCTCACACTAATTTTCATTTCTTTGCAAATTAACCCCCGTAATCCTTTTAAACCTAACAAAATGACTCCAATATATTCTAAATTTATCCGATTATATCTGTCCGAAATATAGATGAAAGTTATCGTAATTGCCATTTTAAAAATTACAGGGTAGGAAGAAAAGTTGCCTTATGGCTGAAATTGATTAGACTTATTTGTCCACATGAAAAGTTGGATTTCTAACATGTAACATCCATCATAAACCAGTGACCATAAAGTTCACTATCTTGTTAATGGGTGTCCTCGTTGCCTTGCTAGTGTTTGCTTTCTATGGGTCCCATTCCCCCACGTGATATTCACAAGACCAAAAGCAACTGGACCTGCCTTCTTAGCCCCACCAATACTCTTTTTATTCTCACAATAATGCTATTGTTTATCTAATTTGAGGATATAATACACCGGGACTATTAGTTCAATAATAAATTTAATTCAATGTCGTGATTTAGGGTGCTTTACGTAATAATAGCATTACTCTTATTTTGAGATGGACTCAGATGAGTTAGAGGAAAACGCTCTGAACCAATAGGATAATGACATGTGGAGGTGAGTAGATAAGGATCCACCTCCACCACAAGTTTGAGGGGCTGACCCTGATCCGTTTCACATGGTCTGTGGGACGTCCAGCTCAGATAAAACCTCAACTTGCTGAACCATATGGTGATGTGCCTTGGCCTTTCTAGTTTTGAAACACCCCCTCCACTGTGGTACTCAACAAGCAGTCTACATCGGCTTGTCCTTATCACATACTATGCACAACCACCAAGTTACCATCGCTGGTGCCCGCAATCCTCTCCCAACTACGGAGTGTGTTCTAGACGAGTTTAGCTGGGTTGAAAGATTAATATGATGATTTAAACTAGACCCTTAATTTGAATCATTCAATTTAATTATTATCTGTACTTAAATTTTTGAAATTAGGTTTAAACTCAAGTTATACAAGCCGAGTTTACATAGTCAATTCCGTTCTAACTTATTTATTAAATTGGGATTTTTTTTTTTGTTATAGAGTACTTAGATTTGTGCTGATTATTCATTTGAGATCGAATATTAGCCCACCATAGCTTGAGCAAATTTTGAACATTTTTTCTAAAGAACAAGAATGACCTACCCTTAAGGGTATAAAAGCGTTAAATTTGAGATTTCTGAGTTATCAGAAGTCAAGATTCACCACTGAATCACACCTAAGAATTATTTATTTTTAACAGAGTAACTCAAATCTACTAAAGATAGACCCATACCCATAATTGTGTTTTTATTCAAGTCAGGGTGATGGATTGTATTAAGGATTATTGATCACTTGCATAATCAGTCCAACGTATGCTTAGACATTTGAAATTTGGTGGCGTAACTATTTGCAAGCAGAAAACCAAAGGGAAAGGAATTGGAAGGGGATAAAAAAGAAAAAAGCTATATCGAAATTCGATTTTTTTTTACTGAAATTAATTCATAATTATAGATGCAGTATAATTGAAACACTCAACAACTAAATCGATTTTCCTGATTTAGGATTTTCAAGTGGGTAAGAGAATAGGAAATAAGGATAAAAGGGAAAAAAGAATCACACGTTGTACATCTGTTTGGAACAGATCTGGTGGGGCATTAGTATAATTTTGGAAACTACTAGGGTATCTCGTATACTTTTCAGAGACCTTAGGGGTGTATCAGTGTAATTTCTCCAGGGAACCCCAGTCCTCCAAAGATATAAGAAAAACACGGGCTATTGGATCACAGCTGACACCAATTGTCTGCCAGGCCCAATTTTTTTTAGGGACCCCTTAAAAGGGTTGGAGCCTATCATAGAATCTGCTCCTAAATCCTCTTCCGTCGTAATCGCAACTATTTTATTATAATGGTGGTAATAGTAGTGGCGACGGCAACGATGATGACGGAGACACCATGATTGTGGCGGTGGTTCTGCGACGGTGATGGTGGTTGTGCTGGTAATGACAATATAATAGTGGTGGTGGTAGTGATGATAGCAATCACATAACGGTGGTGGTTGTGGATATTAAAAAGTTAAGAATGTAAAATATATTAAGGATATATTTTGAAAAATTTATAAAATCCTTACCGACTAAAGTTATAAAATTATCAAACTTAACTTCAACTCTAACATTATATCATCCATACTTGCAATTTGAAACTTGGTTCCAATTGAAAATTAGGGCTACATATCTCTAATTGAATTCCAGTTCAACTCAAGTTTAATCCAAAACTAATTATCAAGTTGCACAACTTTAATTTATTTTCAAATTGGGTTGAACTCAAATTCACTTATTCAGGACGCTCCGTAGAATTTGATATTCCAACCAAATATTGTTTGAATTTACATCGTGTTGAATTTTTTTGCCCAAGATCAATCCATGTACTAAAATTATTTGTCCAAGCATGAAATATTTTGTATT